TATTTATCATTCATCCAACAAATATGTGTTATGCACAGAACTATGGAGCTGGAAGTGGCTATATTTCTTATCAATACTTACATTGATTTTTTTTAATTGAGTTAGGTCTAGGTTAGTCTGTCTGCAATGCATCAAACACATCCCTATGAGTAAAAATTACAGAATGTATTCTCAGAGCAGAGGTCATATCATTCTGCTCCATGACTGTTCTTAGACTGCTCTAGAGTGTTCTGAGCCATGTGTGTACAGCAAATGAACATTCCTCAGCTTCTCCCAGTAGGCAGTGCGTGTGTGTGTGTGTGTGTGTGTGTGTGTGTGTTTGTGTGTGTAGCTATATGAGCACCCATGTGCATGGACTGCTCACAGAGCTTCAAGGAAGTGGGACTGGTTTACATATATACTCAGTCCCACCTTCCTCCTGGCAGAGTCAAATGCCTGCTTAGTACAAGTGGTTCACGGAAGAATAGAGGGAAATAAACTCATGGAGACAGTGGTTCTCCCTGGAGCCATGGATCTACCTTCCACCCAACACTACCAAGGGGTTGGAAAACTCACTAATCAATGGCTCAAATGAGCATTAATTCTTAACATAGAGGTGGTATTGTATGTGTTAATGGGTGGGGAGGTATTGTCAAAATTGATTTGAGGCAAAAATAAATTAGAAAAAGTCAAAGGCAACTCTGGCAGCACCCAACCCAACCCCCCTTGGCAGGGTGTGGCATTTCCTTCTCAGATTACTGGCTGGTGATGTAGAAATGTATGCGTACTTTGTTATTTCACGAATGCTTGGTTCTAACTCAGTGCCCACGTCTGTTTTTCTAGCCAGAGATCTTACCTTGCTGTTGAAAGTAATTTGTTCTTAGTCGTGCTTTTGAGTGATTTTAGCAACATATCTGAGATTCTCTCTCTGGAACAGTGCTTATTTCAAATCATCACCCATGCATTCTGAACATCAGAAATCCTCCTATATAAAAGCAATGTGTTGTTCCTAATTAATGCCCTTGCTTTATTCCATTAGTCTCTGTCTCTGTCTCTGTCTCTGTCTCTATCTCTGTCTCTGTCTCTGTCTGTCTCTCTCTCAAATGTCAGATAAGCACTTTGATCTTCTTTGTTTATGGAAAGATATCCTTTTTGGATTCTTACCTTTAAAAGACATAAAAGGAAATACTATAATTGAGATAGGATTTATGTCAGCAGATATCATATCCTTCCTTTTTTGTCCTCTTTGAATCTGCTACATAGCAAGATGTCCTCTGTAGTTCCTTAATTGTTTCATCTATATTCTAAGAGCCATTGAAATGTCTTCCTCACTCTGCATGAAAATATTGCCTTGCTATTATCTATTTTACCTATACAGAGCTAAGGATTGTTAGCCTCTTCTGTGCTTCAATGCTTACCAATCACACTATCTATTAAACTCATTAAAAATAATGAGTTTGTATATAACTCAAGAGATCTGAAGTGAAACATACAATAGAACATTCTTACTAGTCTTATTAGTAATACTTAAGATGAGAGAAGAATTCAAAGGAGTAAAAAGATAAAAATTTACAATGAAGTTTGAACCGATGAGGTAGAATGGATTTTTTCATTCATTCATCAAGGGAGAATGTGTTTTTTGGTTACCATTGTGAACATTTTCTATACTCTTGTTCCTGTAGGTTGGTATTCCAGCAGATTGCAGATAAATTGAGGGAGTATGACAGGAGGCAAGATGACAGTGTTCTGTAACGATGTCATGCAGGACATACTGTATGTGCATCTGTGCTCTACCTCTAGTAATGACAAATGTATCACAAAGTATTTATTTCTGATCTATTACACTTCTTTTAAAAAATGCTATGGTACCTGTAAATTAAGAAAAGTCAATGTTGTATTGAAATTATTTTTACTAATAGTATGAATCTCCATGATGTAAAATTTTCAACATAGTTTATGTACTTTTTATTTGTCAGGTTTTCCCTTGGTCTCTATCTAAATTATCCTAAAAATTCTACATACAAAATTCTCATAATTATCCAGTATTTATTCAGTTTATGAAAACAGGCCTTTCTGGGGTACAGTCAGGCTTATTCTGTCTTTATTTCATTACCTTCCTTTTGCTAGCTACAATTTTTTTTCTTTTTTGAATTTTGTTTTGTTTTGTTCTGTTTGAGGGAGGGTCTCACTATGCAGTTCAGGCTGGCCTTGAGCTCACTTTGTAGCTCAGGCTGGTCTCAAACTTGAAACAATCCTCCTGCCTCAGCCTCCTGAGTGCTGGTATTACAAGTGCGCACCACCATGCCCAGCTCATTTTCTGTTTCTCTGAGGCAGAGTCTCACTATGTAGCCCAGGCTGCCCTTGAACTCTCAGCGATCCTCCTGCTTCTGTATCCCAAGTGCTGGGATTGCAGATATGGGCCACCACACCTGGCCCTCTAGCTACAATTTAATATTTATTTTCTTTTAAACTGATATATAAAATTGTGCATTTCATGAAGTACTAAATATTCAGAGTATGGTAGAATCAGTTATAGTCACCCTCAGTACCTGAGAATACCCAAATTTCTTTTCACTAACCACAACTTAGTACCTATTAGTCAATCTTTCCCCTTCCATCCCTTCCCCTACTTTCTTTGGCTTCTGTAACCAACGTTTTATTCTCAACTTCTACAAGGTCAACTTTTTAGATTCCACATATGAGACCATGTGGTACTTTTTGGCCTACCTTACAACATAGTGACCTCCAGTTCCATCCACGTTCTCACAAATGCAGTTTAATATTTTTACTCATAAATTGAGGAAGACATATAATAACTATTCATCACATTTTTTAATGTCACAAAGGTGGAAAATATAATGGATGTAAACCGTGATGGAATAAGATTCAAAAATACTCTTATGTGTGTTGGAACAACTGGTCCTAAGCACATAAAATGAAGTTAAATGGGAAAAATGTAAGAGTATAAGACAGCCATCAGTGGGACTTGATGCTTAGAAAATGCATTCAAATATTGGACTGTGTATTTGTTCATGTTCTCCAAGAATGTGAAACCAAGAAGAACTTAAATTTCCAAGGACTGAATTTAAAAAACTAAACCGGAATTGGGGGAAGGCGAGGGAAGTCATTCAACTGTGACACAAACTGACTTCTCCTGAAGGCAAGAAAGAAGAGATGATTGTGAGAAAAAGCATCTTATACTTCCAGGAAGTCTAATAAAAGCCCAGCAAGGCCACTGGTTATGAAATGAAGTTTGCCATGTGCAAACTTCAATTCTCAGCAACAGCTGCCTTCGCAAGTCTGCTACACTCAGTCAGTCACTCTTGAGCAGCTCGTGGAAAACAAGGCTCCTACCCTAATTTGATTGACACAAAGGAAACAATGCTTTCTGGAGTGTGACAGCTGGGCCCATGGCTAATGAGTTTGTAAAATATGTTCCCAAGACATGCAGGTACAAATATGTATTTGTTTTTTTTTTAAACTCCATACTTTTCAGAAAAATATTTTTAATGTAATTCAAAACCAAACAGACCTCAAATCCTAAAAATGCAATCTTATTTTAGTATATCCAGTCAAAAATTTTTGTTGAGCTAGACATGATGGTGCATGTCTGGAATCCCAGCACTCAGGAGGCTGAGGCAGGAGGATCATTGTGAGTTTGAGGTCAGCCTGGGCTACAAAGTAAGTTCATGGCCAACCTGAACTGCATAGCAAAACCTTGCATAGCAACATTAATCCTTTGAAATCCTCATGCCTAGGGGGATGTTATTAAGTGGCAGTACCTGTTGGAGTGATTGGGTCATAGGCGCTGTGCCCTCATGAATGGTATCAGTGCCCTTATAAAAAGGCTGCAAAGAGAGCTGTCCTTCTGTGATGTCAGCTAAGAGTGAAAAGCAGTCTATTGAGAAGCAAGTCCTCTTTGCCAGGGTCTCAATTTTAGATTTCCAGCCTCTACATTGGGAGAAATAATTTCTTGTTCGTAAGCCACTCAGTCTATAGACTTTGCTATAGCAGCTCAAATAATTCCTATAAACTTGTGTCTAGTGACATTATATACCCTTGAGGCTCATCTTTCATTTATGAGTTACATTTCTATCAATATCCTGGACTCATCACCAAAACTGGGGAAACCTGTAAGTATCTGAAATACTATCTTCCTGAAAAGCTAATAAGTTAGCTTGTTATAGCTTTTAGGATATTGGCAGAAGACATGAATTTCCTGGATCAGCGACAAAGGATTCTATTACTCATGACAATAACAGAAGCCACCGTGTCAGCATTTGCAGTCTTCCAGAATTCCAGTTCACACAGGACTTAACCAACACATACAGTGCATTGTAGTACAAAAGAGAACTCTGCATTTAAAAAATTAATTTTTTAATTGTGCACAGTAACCATGCCTCTTTTTTGCTCTGGGGAGAGGGAGAATCCTAATTTTATCTCCCACAACTATTTAATTTAGCAGCATCTGTGGAAAAAATAATCCAAAACAGATATAGTTAGTGTCTATGCTTTTACATAATCTAGAAATGTAAGAAAAGATTGGTGAATCATCGCCTCTTACTTACAGCTCCCCAGTTCTTTCTTGACATCAAAGAATTTCCCTTCCTGCATCTCAGGGAAACAGTCTCGGGGAGTCTCTAGGCAGATGTCTGCAATTTTTTTTGGCTGTCTACCTTCCTACACTCTGATTGTCTGTTCTGTACATGCCAGGCACTTCATCTTCCTCAATTCTCATCACCACATTCTCAATTTAAAATGACTTCTGCATATCTGGTGGGGTACTCCTTCCCCGCACCCCAATTCAGAAAGTGCTCTCAGAATAGAAATTTGAGACCATGGCAGGGTTTATATTATGTATTTCCCTTCTCTCAGGAGTAACAATTCTATCCCACTTCTTTTTAAAAAAATAAAAACAGACATTGTGCCACTTTTTTCTAACTTTCTATTGCTTAATAAGATTACAAGTCAAGTACTGTCGGGGTCGCTCCCGGCCGGCAGGAAAGACACACGACAAAGTCTGGCGGTGTGCAACCTTGCCTTTATTTGTCTCCGCGTGGGCCCCGCGAGGCCTCCGCTCTGTCACCAGCCCTTTCTCGCCGGTGGACTTTCTCTGTCTCTCTCTGTGCTTCCTCTGTGCTTCTCTCTTGTGGCGGGAGAGGCATTTACTTTTATAGGGTAACAGTGGCCAATCAGTTCAAAGCGCGCGATGCGGGCTGATTGGCTAACATCAGTTGTTGCTAGGCAGACTATCTTACAGAGCGGGTTGTTTAAGTCGCCAGCGCAATCAGGGGGCAGGAAGCAGGCGCCAACTTGACTCACTCGATGGGAGGGGCAATCTAGCTCAGGCTCCGCTCCCACCCACAGGCCCTACGTCCGCCAAGCAAGGCGACCGGTGTCGGCCGCGGCTCCCAACATCTCCCCCTATTTTATTTACTTTGAATGAATGTATGCATCGCAGCCCGCCCTGGATCGAGTGCAGAGGCTTATGCCCTGTGTTGAGGCCCACCGTAGGCCCTTGGCTTGGACCCTGGTCGGCCGCCCCCGGGTCCGCCAAGGCCTTGAGACCCTCGTCCTTTTTCCAGGGCCAGGAGTGAACTGGACGGAACCTGGATGCACATAGGCATGCACTCATGCCCCTCCGTGTGATCCCCTCGGAGAGGCATCTAGATCTGGGCAGATTCTAGTAATCCAGCGGCTTTCGTGCGCCATGGGGTAGGGCCTGGCTTAGGTCGAGTCGTGCTGGGGAGGCACGCTCTTACCCGTCATTGACTCACCTACCCTGCTGTGTACTGTCAATAGGGAAGGAGTGCGGAAGACCCGCCACACCTAGACCCAGTCGTAGGCCAGTCGAGCGAGCCATGCGTAAGCCTGGGGGTCATTGTGCCCATCACGGGCTGCTGCCAGGGCCGCATGGGCAACCAGGCGTACTTGACGCCGGGCCGCCGCAAGGCGCCCATTAATAAATGATGTGACCCATCGGAGCAAGCATGGTCCTATAAGTAAGAGCAAAAGCAAGGAGCACAGGGGACCTAACAATGGTAAAACATAGGGGAGCAAGCCATTCCAGGCTCCCCAAAAAGGGATTGTCCTGCAGTTCTTTTAGGGCTCATCTTGTTGTTGGGTCTGCGGTTGGCCTCTGGTGGAACAGGCCTGATCTTCAGTCGAGGGACTTGTCGCGTCAACCTCTCTGGGACCCACAGTGGTTTTCGTCCCGGTTCCTGCAGAAAAACACAAACCGCGCCTCGGTTCCAGCTAACCACCGGATCCGGGCCCATCCATTGTCATGCCATAGATAACCGCGCCTTTGGAGGCAGGCCTTGGCTTACTCCCCCTTTTTTTTTTTTTTTATTTTTTTTATTTTTTTTATTTTTGGTCTTTTTCGTTTTTTTTTTTTTTTTTTTTTTTTTTTTAATCGGTACCAGGGATCAAACTCGCGATTGCCTGCTTACAAGGCAGGCGCTTATGCCGCTGAGCTAAATCCCCAGCCCCGTTTCCTCGACCGGCGTTTTTCTCAGCCTGCTCGGCAGAGTAGCCGCCCATGAAAATACCGTCCGCCCCGCAGCGCAACGTCATAGGACGGCGGTCGCGACAGAGTGGAACGGGGCGTCACTTCCTGTGCCGGCTGAGAGAAGGGAGGGTTCCCTGTAGCGGCCTCTCGGCGGGGAGCCGCTTCTGGAGAAGAGCTCCAGGGCGGAGCGGATGGCTCTCTATCTCCTCCCCGCCAGAGAGCGCTCGGGGGCCCTTTTTCCTCTCTCTGCTTTTTTCGAGCGGCGCACGCACACAATTCGCGGCGCAACTCGGCATAGGAGTCAAGGCACGCATGTATCATTTCCCACAGGGGGCGAATAGCCGGCGAAATATCGCCTCCCAATTCCGCCGAGGCGAGGTCCCCGCCTAACTTGTCCCATGACGGCAGGTTTAAATGCCCTGTGGGTAAAAACCATGGAGCCACCCTATCTACCTCTGCTATGAATAGTTTCAGTGTTTTTTGACCTACCCTGAGGTCTCTAGCTTTTAAAAGCTTCCTAAGGGCCTTTACCAAGGGCCGCGCCTCTGCGCTCGGTAAATTACCCATTTTTAACCTCTAAGGGCTGTTACTCACCGAGTGTGACTTAAAGAACCCGTCACCTACGCGTGAGCCTGAGGGGAGTCTAAAAGCCCTGTAGGTGCGCGCCACTCAGAGCCCAGGCTTATCCCCAACTCACCTGTCCGGCAGCACCACGCTGGAGCGTTGCACACCACCGCCGTGTCTCGGGGTTGATCAGTCCCCGTGCGGGTCACCAAATGTCGGGGTCGCTCCCGGCCGGCAGGAAAGACACACAACAAAGTCTGGCGGTGTGCAACCTTGCCTTTATTTGTCTCCGCGTGGGCCCCGCGAGGCCTCCGCTCTGTCACCAGCCCTTTCTCGCCGGTGGACTTTCTCTGTCTCTCTCTGTGCTTCCTCTGTGCTTCTCTCTTGTGGCGGGAGAGGCATTTACTTTTATAGGGTAACAGTGGCCAATCAGTTCAAAGCGCGCGATGCGGGCTGACTGGCTAACATCAGTTGTTGCTAGGCAGACTATCTTACAGAGCGGGTTGTTTAAGTCGCCAGCGCAATCAGGGGGCAGGAAGCAGGCGCCAACTTGACTCACTCGATGGGAGGGGCAATCTAGCTCAGGCTCCGCTCCCACCCACAGGCCCTACGTCCGCCAAGTAAGGCGACCGGTGTCGGCCGCGGCTCCCAACAAAGTACCAATTCCCCAGTTACTAATTCTATTCCAGCACTGTAAGAGTAGATGTTCCTTCTTTGTGTGTTCTTGAAGAATTTCTGAGACAGTTACTTAGAAACTATTAGGCTTTAAATTGTATAGGAATAGAGCTGAAACTAATTATATACATAAAATAGGATAAAATTATGTGACAGTTATCCTGAAGCATAAATGCTTTGTGCTTTCATGAGACAGAGACTGAAGTCTGCAGGTGCATTTCAGGGGAACACATAAGCCCGGAGTCTTAATTTCTTTTTTTTTTTCACCACTGAGACAAAATACTTAACACCCAAAGTTAAAGCAGGAAAGGTTTATTTTGGCTGCCAGTTTGCAGTCCACTTTGGGCTGGCTCCAAGGCAGCAGGATATGACAGAGAGTCATCAAAGAAGAAAACAATCCATGCCAAAGCAGGGGAGGCAGAAAGCAGTAAGCAGCAAGCAATGGCGGCGGCGGCAGCAGGAGTCTCAGCAGCTGCCTGCCTCTTGCTTTTATCCAGTCCGGGCTAGTTGCCTTTTGGGATATGCCACCCACACCTAGGGTGGCCCTCCTTAATCTCAGTGTCACACACTCAAGCCCAAGATCATATCCTTAATTCTAGTATCACATGCCTGAGACCCAGCCACCTCTAAAAGGCCCCACCTGTGACCTCTTGAGGCCTTGGGGAGACGTGTAGATACAAGCCACAGCAGCCAGCATGTCTGAGGGAAAGTCAGGGAGGTGAATGAAGCGCCATAGGGGAAGCATCGGAGGAGCCATGCCAGTTCTTTAAAAATGTGACTCACAGTCAAACTTTTGGGGAAACTGTCAGACTGATTTCTCTGATGCTTTATGGTGCTTCCTAGTACATTTTTTAGACCTAAATAAAGTACAATTTTCCCTTGGTATCTGAGACTGAATCCTAGACCCTAATAGGCACCAGAATCCACAGGTACTCAAGTCTCTTACGTAAAATACAGTATTTGCATGGAAGATATGTACATCCTCCCATATGCTTAAATCATCTCTAGACTACTACTAGTATCTGATATGTTGAAAGGGCTAAATAAACTCTTTTTATAAAGAAAAATTTGTAGGTGTGTAATTCAAAAGCAAGTTTTAAAACAGTTTCAACCTGAGACTGGCTGACTTTTTAACCCCAGAAAGTGCAGATTTAGGGAGGGTTGTGATGATGTCTATCCTCCTTTAGAGGAGGACCTCTAATATTTTACTAACTATAAAATAGAATAAGTGGGAGCTTATTTCCTTTAGTTACGTGACTGGAGCCATCTGAGAGATATGTGAACAGCTCAGAAGGGACAGGTGAAAACTGAGGCTTGATCAGGGCAGAATTTGTTTCCATTGTGTCTGTTTGACAGTTAACTAGGACTGACTTAATAGAGCAGGAAAAGTGAGAGGGAAAAAAAATCACTCCTTTTTTATTTAAAAGAACATAGAAAAGAAAAGCAAAAAGCAAAAAAGATAAACACACAAACAACAAACACAAAACAATAACAACATAGGCTTTCAAAACAAGATGACAGGAATTTAACAATGGTTGTTATATTTCATATTGTTACCTTCAAGAGTTGCTAAGATTACCGCATACACGCATGCAAAACTCTGATCATATGAGTGTTAACTTTTGTTTTCTGAGAACTAATAGAATTAGTATCATGTTCATCTTAGCTAGTATATATATATATATATATATATATATATATATATATACATACATACATATTCCTTTATTCCTCCTTTTCCTCTTTGAGCAGTTTCTTACCCATACAGAATATTTATTGTAGATTTTGGATCTTACTTGCTGTTTCATTTTCGTATACTAGGGAGATAGTATGGTATTTACACGTGAGTCTGACTTATTTCACTTATGAGTATGGTCTCGACCGGCACCCAATTACTTATAAAAGCCTTGATACAATCTTTCTTTATGTCTGAGTAGTATTCCATTGTATAAAAATACCACATCTTTTTTTTTTATCCATTTCTCAGTTGATGGGCATTTGAGTTGTTTCCAAGACTTGCCTATTACAAATTGTGTTGTTATGAACATGGGATCACATGCATGAATGTGGTATGATGTTTTCAGTTCTTCTGGGGAAATGCTCAGAAATGGGATAGCTGGATCAAATGGAATCGCTAATCCTAGCTTTTTGAAGAATCTCCACACTGATTTCCACAGTGGTTGCACCAGCCCACACTCCCACCAACTGTGAAGAGTTCCTTTTCCCCCACACCTCTCCAGCATTTGTTATTAGTTGATATCTTGATCTTGGCCATTCTTTCTGGAGTGAGATGGAATCTTGGTGTTGTTTTAATTTGCATTTATTGAATGGCCAGTGATGTTGAACATTCTTACATATGTTTATTTGCCATATGGGGTTCATATGGGTGTTTTGTCATTAATTTCCAATTTTATTGCACTATAGTCAGATAATATGCATGGGATTATTTCAATTTCTTTGCATTTAGTTAAGCATGTCCTGTATGCTAATATATAATTTTGAGAACAACTAACAAGAATGTGTATTTTACTCTTGTTGGATGGAACAGTCTGTCATGTATGCTTAGTCCATTTGTTCACAATTTTGATTCAGTTCTGTTGTTTCTTTGCTGAGTTTTTATTTGGTTGATCTGTCGCTTTGTGCCAATGGGATGTTAAGGTTCCCCATTTAAGTACATTATTGCTTATTTGATTTTTCACGTCTATTAAGATTTGTCTTGCATAGTTGGGTGCTCACATATTTGGTGCATTTATATTTATTATTTTAATCTCTTCCTTTTGTAGTTTCCCCCGAACAAATATGTAGTGACCTTCTTTAGCTCTTTTGATCATTTTTGGCTTAAAGTTCACATTGTCTGCAAACAGAATAGCTACCCTTGCTTTTTTCTAGGTTTCTGTCACATGGAGTATTGTTTTCCATCCTTTGAGTTTTAGTCTATGAGTACTGTTTTGAGTTAAGTATGTTTCCTGTACCCAGCATATTGTTGGGTTTTGTTTCATAATCCATCTGCCAGTATGTTTCTTTTTATTGGTGAGTTGAGGCCATTTACACTGATAGGTATAACTGATATGTACTGACTTAATTGTAATGTTATTTTTCTGCAGGGCAAGCAGTGTTTGCCCTGCTTGGTGGTTTCATTGTGCTGTTGTTCTTAGAACTGTAATCATCTTTGTCTCTTTCTAGAATATCTTTAGGTACTCTTTGTAGTGTTGGTTTGATGATCATGAATTTCTTCAGTTGTTCTTTGTCATGAAAGTATCTTATTTTTCCATCAATTTTGAAAGATATTTTTTCAGGGTACATCAATCTGGATTGGAAGTTTTTTTCTTTTAGAAGTTGAAATGCTTCACTCCAAGTCAAAAAACTAGAAGGTTTATGTTGAGAAATCTGATGTGATTCTGATCAGCTTTCCTTCAAAGGTGATCTGTTTCTTTTATGTGACAGGTTTTAGCATTCTGTTCTTGTGCTAAGTTTCAGGGATCCTATTTGTTGTATATCTGCATGAAGATTTATTTTAGTTATGGCTAATTAGGGTTCTATATGCCTCACTTATCTCTATAGCAGATTGTTTTCTCATGCTTGGAAAATTGTTTGCTATTATTACTTTATCTTATATCATTTGTGTTGACCTCTCTTTTTTAAAAACCTATCAGTCTTATATTGTTTCTCTTTGCATCATTTTGCAGCTGTTGAACTGTTGTTTCCTGGTTGCTTGTTATTTCGGAGAGATCTTTTCTTTTGTGATCATAAGCTTACATTCTGCCTTCAAGGTCTGAGAGTCTATCTTCAGTGCAGCTTCATTCAGGCAGTGTTGCCTGCTTGAGTTAGAATTTTTAATTTCCTGAATATTCCTTTTCATGCAATCTAATTCTGCCTTGTATTGTTCATTCAAAGGTTTCCATCGTTTTCTTATGTATCCTCTATTTTTTTTTACCTAGATCTTCTTTAGATAACTCAGCATTTCTTTGATAACATTTGTCATTTCTTTTTTACTTGAGAGATTATTTCTGATCTGATTTCCTCATAGCTTCATGGAGTTTTTTATTTACTTCAGTTGCTATCATTTCAGAAAGTTCAGTTGTGCAATTTCCAGTGGGTTCCATTTCCCTGTTTGTTCTCAGTGGGATGGAGGACTGAGACTGCATCTTGCTCTTCCATTTTGTCATTTTCTTCTGGGACCTGTGAGGCTGACCAGCCACCTTCTCTATGGATCGCACTGGGCTTCTGGGTTGAGCAGAACTTTGATCCTCACTGAAGTGGCTAACTATGCGAAACCCTGAACTATAGCACCAGGGTCTTGTGCTGTGATGGACAGAGCTCAAAATCTTTAGGACCTCTTGGTTAGGCTGTTCACTCTCTGATAGTAGGCCCCAGGGCTCTGGGCTGGGCAGGGCTCAGAACTTGTGGAGACTGTATGGCTGGCCAAGCATTCCCTAGATTGATTGCTCTGGGACATTGGGTTGGGCAGAGCTCAAATTCTCTATTCAGCAAGCAGGGATGCACCCCTGGAGTGTGGCACTGGGCCAGGGCCTTGGGCCTGGCTGAGTGGATTTCAGAACCTCCAAAATCCATTTGGCTTACTAGGACAGACCTCAGGAGTGTGGGGCCAGGGTCTTGCACCTGGCTAGATAGAGTTCAGAACCTCTGGGACCCAGTCTCTCCTTTTATCAAATCTTTCAAAACAAGCCAAACACTAGCCCAGTGAGGGTGCCCTGACTCATTCTGACCTCTTCCTATCTTTGGTATTTCATCTATCTTTCCATTTTATTCCCACTATGATACCTGTACATTATTCCAAAGCTTTAACTGTATAATTTTACAAAATCAATCAATACTATAAAAAATAAATATACCCACCAAGAATAGGCTTTGTTTTCTCTCAAAAACCTTTGTTATTTATTTAGTAAATGATAACTGAATTTTTCAGGCAATCCTAATAGTCTTTTACCAAGGCATATTTGACAAAGTATTAATTTGTCCTTTTAGTATCTTTATCCTTTAATGTGGGAAAATGAATAGATCTTTTATAAGTTGCTTTTATTTTGAACTATAAGGGATTGTGATTGACAGAACACAATAATAATAACAAGAAAAAATCCAGGAGTTGATCTCCACTCTAAGTTTCTTCCCATAGCTACCTTAATTATCTTCCTGAAAAATGAATTTAAGTCAGTCATGTCACTCACTGGCTTGAGGACTTCTGACGTTTCCCTGTGTGTCCTGATGGATACACCAAATAAAACATGCTGGAGAATATAAGGTCTATTGCAGTTTCTTCCTGGTTTCTAATCCCCAACACCATTTTTCCACCTTCTTCTCTTTTGAAGCTTCAATTAGACTGAAATCACCTCTCACCATGACCAAGTAAGGAGACCCTGTCAAGACACTATGCCTTTGTTTGGGCCATTTCATGTACCTAAGGGGCCGTCTCTGAAGGGCTCTGAGTGCTCTGGTTGGAGTTGTGGCTCATTCTTTCTCATATCATTCACTCTCTGTGTAAGTCACAAACTCTGATGAGTACATCCCAGTTAGCACCAGAAAGTCTGTCTGGTTAACACAACTGCCCAAGCCTTGATGCTTTGATCATCTATTCTGTTGAAAAATAAAAAATTCCTTCTCTTTCCAAGTTTCTACCCTAAAAATCCCTATAAATTCTCTTTCATTTAGGACTTGAAAGTCTTCTAGGCTCCACCAAATCACAGGAGAGGAAGAGTGTCAATTTTATGCTTTAGAGCAGCACTCACTACAACTCTCTGCAGTGATGGAAATTTATCTTCCCTTCCAATGTGATTGCCAGTGGCCAGAAATGGCTGCTGAACACTGAATATATGATTCATGTGAGAGACAAGCAGCTTTAAGATTTTTCAATCTTAATTAATTTAAATATTGTTTAAATAGATATATTTGGCTAATAGACAGGGTTGTTCTAGAATCCTCACAGATCTACAGACCAACTGATAGTTCTACTACCCAAGAAATATTTATAATAAAGAAATTAAATAAAAGAAAGAGAAAATAGGAATTATGAAATTAAGGAGTAAGAGTATATTATTGCTGGAGTATTTTGTATTTCTACTTCTCAGAAATTGATTACATAAAATTCAGCATACATAAATTTGTATTAGTTGTCACTTTGCTTAAGTGTTCTCTAGCCTTCATTACACAAGTTCTGCAACCCTAGAAACAAATCTTAATTTTGTGTTTTGTTAATTATTTCCTTAGAACTTTATGAGTATCCTGCACATAGAGAACATGTATTAAATAATGGCAAGCTAGTGGTTAAACTAGTCAGTAAAATATTAGCAGTAATTACCTTAATGAAATATATAAAAATAAAACAATCATTCCTAAATGAATTATTGGCTTTCATTATCATTATAATAAGCAAGGCAAAATTCAGTTCAGAGGTTAAACTAAAATTATGGGTACCAAACAGACCTTGGTCAAGTTATTCAATCTAAGTTTCACAATATCCTATTTTGGAACATGAAGTTAATAAAATGTTCAACCCAGCAAGAAAACTCATAGAAGGCCTTAGTTTAGTGTTTAGCATAGGGTAACTATTTAAATATCAGTTGCTACTGTTACTGTGATGATCATTATATTGTTTTAGTAGTATTCTCATTTATGTAGAATTTTAGTTGACAAAGCACTTTTAGGACACAATCTTAATTGATTTTCTTATTAGCTTTCAAGGCTGCTAGAATTGCTTCCCCCATCATGAAAATTAATGGAGGTTGGGAGATTTTAGCAACTTGTCCAATACCAACAGGCAGCAGCTGTCTACAGGTTATAAACTATACACAGTCTACCGTATAATACTGCCCATGTTGCCTTTCTAGATATGCTAAGGAATTCATTTCTTCATCTTCAAATTGTGCAATCTAATCTAGGTTTTGCAAATGTTTCTGTTTCCCAGGCATGCTGTCTTTCTAAGATTGCTTGCCTTTTTAGTGACATACGTGTATTGTTTCTTACGCACTACACGAGCAGTACTTCATAATATATGGCAAATGGCTTGTAAAAGCATTAGGAAGTTTTCAAACTAGTCTTGTCCATCCCCAAGAACAAACACTTAATGACCGGCCTCTGAAGAGCCAAGCCAGCGTCTGAATCTGAAACTCGACAAATGTGTCTTTGTTCAGTAGATCGCGACATCACTCATAAAAACTCTTAGATATCTGCCAAGAGCCTTTTCTATATTGTACCTTACAAGCAAAAGACAAAGGACTTTGGATAATTATACAAAGCATGATTTCTACATTTGTTTACTCAGGACTCCTTTCTGTATTTTTTTTTTTTTAGTCTCAGCAGGACTTTAATGGGAGTTAATTGGAAGGTGGAAAATATAAGACTTGGAGACCTAGACACCCAATCCATGCTCAAAGAAGTATTTCTGCTAATGGATATTAGGTGGTATTATGAATTTACTTCTCTTTTTAATTAGGCAAAGTATGAATATGTGGTTAAAGAAATGCAAAACTCCATGACTACTTTCATTTTACTTCATCAAATCAACTATGATATGGCCAAATAGCATGGCATCTTTTATACCCCAATGAATATGAATCTCTTTATCCTGTAAAATATTGGTCATGGGGTCAAACATTTCACATTTGAGCTTCTAATTAATAAATGTGAAATAAATCACAAATCTCTAGAGATAGCTATATGACTATGAGCAACTCAACTCCTTCATCTCTTTCTGTACCTGCAAAACAGGTTGAAGAAAACACCAAAGAATCAAGTATATGCTGTGATTGTGGACATTATGCAAGAATTATTTTACCTCTGAAAAACTTTAAGTAGAACAGTACTACTGGGGCTTCTAACAGCAATCATATTCTAAAATACTATGTCATGAGGATTTTTCAGAAGATAGTCGTGTTACTGTTGGCTGGGTTCTCTGCAGAGAATTCTGGCTATTGAGGATTTTTCTTTGGTATCCTGCTAAGAAAAGTCTCCCATGTGGCAGGTAGATTGTGCTCCCTCTGATGGCAGGGCATTCTCTGGAGACCCTGGCGGTCTCAATGCAGAGTTCCTGGAGCTTGTAGCTCAGTTCTGGATAGACACTGCTGGTGAAGTGATGACAAACATCGACTCAGAGCTGCTAACAATTGGCCCCTGTTTCCCTGCTGATTTCTTGAACTGTCCTAGGCATCTTTACCAGGGCTTTCCTATTACATCACTATGAAAATCAGTGTAGAGTCATTGGGAAAGAATTCTATCCTGCCCATAATAGATTTGTGACATGCATTAAGATATTTAAGAAATGTTTCTAAATTGTTTGTTAAAGTAGTATGTGGTATGGTTGGTATGATTTTAAAATAAATTTCACAACTTTTAATCATTCCTGACTTTGTTAAATGCAATGAGTTTTGAAAGACAAGACTCATGTTACTTGACCTGCTCATTTTCAAAGATTTATAGATGTGGTTTTTGTTTTGCTCATTATGAATATTGATTGTTCTGCTCTTCCTGAGCTAGAAAATAACAATCTTACACTTTATCTAGGTTGTTCTCCATTTCCTAAGATATAGTCAGTTATTTTAATGCAAAATGCACTGAGTTTTCTTAATAATGAAAGCATTTTGTCATACTTTTTCTATACTCTAGTTTGAGTTCTGGTCACTTGGCCAGGAAATTTTTGCCTTTCTGTAGCACACACTCTTGCATAAAGAAATCAGTTAGCAGGGCAGTTAAGAAAATGTGAGTGCTGCCTGATAAAATCAATGTTCTAGAAAAGAAATACAAAATTAGGAAGTGGTCTATAAAACTGCTTCTGAAAATACTATGTGCAAACTCATGGAGAAGGACCGAGATGTTCAGTGACATCTCTAGAATTTTCCTTTCAAGCATGTGTACAAAACGGAAAGAACTCTTACGTCTTGGTGATAGATGTGGCTTCCTGTCCACCAACACTGCCAAAATGACTCTCTTGTGTGCAGAAATTGAAGCTCCCAGTCTTCCTGGATCAGAATTCACAGCAATGCTGCCCTCCGACCTGAGAATACCATTCCCAACATGAGCAACAGAACTTCTGCCCTGAGTTATATTACCAGTAATACATATGGATTTTCATTGATTCCTATTTATCCTTTTGTTTCTGCTCTATGACAAATGGTATAAATTTATGAAAACATTGGAGAGACAAGTGTCTGCTCTCATCCTGAGGTAAAACAAAATTTATACTGCAAAAAGATATAACATTTGTGCCCTTACAGTCACCAACAATTTTTCCTTACAATCAAAGCTAAGTGGACAAGGGTATTGGAAAACAAAATTCAAGTTTTGTTGTCACAGAAATCTGGTGATAAGCATAGTCATCAGCGGTTGACCCCATCATTCTCTGGAGTGGAAATGCAGGCAAAAAAAAAAAAAAAAAAAAGTCCCATGTCAAAGCCAGAGAATGCTTTTGAGTTCTTCTATTTTTGTAAATATTACATGATATATTATATATAATGCATTTGGGTTCTTCTATTCTTATAAAATTATCAAAGGCTGGAATAGTGCCTCTTTTTTATATTTTAACAACAGCTTGCTATTCATAAAGTACTTATATACATTTTATTGAATTTTCTGGCTGTTTTACTTTTTCTAGATCCTAATATTTTTCTTCTAGCCAAAATTCATTTATATTATGAAATATTTGCTGCTGGAATTTGATCTCCATGTTTTTATTTTATCTGTATAAAATATGATTCGTATTTATGTTCCTCAATTGATATAAATAGGAAATATACACAGCTGTATATTTCCTACTTGTATATATATGCATATGTACATATATATACAAATGCACATGCATGGGAAATAAGTCAGATTTTAGTAGTAGAACTTTAAAAATGTTTTGAATTACTTACAGACTCTTGAAGATATTGAGTTCAAAATTACTTTTTAAGCACTAAAGGCATATTATCTTTTAATTGAACATAATAAATGAAAATAAAATAAAATTCATACAGTAAATTGATTTTAATTACAATTGACATAATTATTAGATTATGTAATTATGAAAATAAGTAAAATAAAATTCATACAGTAAACTGATTTTAATTACAATTGACATAATTATTAGATTATGTGACCATGTAAAGTAAATTTAATTATAGTGAGTTTTCACATATTATTTATGCATTTATAAGTAATTAAATGTGAATATGTAACTTGAATATCAGAGAATGATTTATTTCTCAAATGACTTACTTGTTTTCTTTTTATGTTCTCCATAGTTTATGATAGGAGAAAGACTTGTAAACCTATTTTATGACATGTAAAAAGGAAATAAAGAACTGAAGAAGACAGGTGAGGGAGAGGATGCAAGAGACACAGTGCATACCTGTCCTGGCTCAGTCTCTTTCCCTGCTTCCTTCCCCGAAAGCTCCTTAACACTCCTGTGTTGAGATTCTTGATTCATCACAGCCTGAATTGTTGAGGCAAAGAACGCTTTCCCTTCTCTAGACTGTTTATTCAGTAGATTCTTTGTTCCATATACACATGTTCCATATACTTATGTATTGAGGAGAACCTCTAATGTTTCAGGGATTGATGGAGAAAAATGCTAAGAGGCAGAGAGGTCCTGAAAGCTGAGACACCAAAATCCTATGGGTACCAGTAGCAGTGATAGCACAGTGCTAACCATCCATGTTTGTTGATGTTGGGATCCATCTCAGCCTTCCAGTCTGAGAAACCTTGTTGCACCTTCCAGGCTTCAAAGAGAAGAACCAAATAGTTTACTTCAGGTCCAAATGCTTCAGCAAGTTAGTAAAGAGTGTGTCCACCAAGGAGAGTTAATGATGCAGGGACACAAGCTGTTCCTAACTTCCAAAGAGTTTAGAGGAAATTCTAAACTCTAGAAGACAGATACCACCACATTGTCTTAGGAAAGGTGTGAATTATCTGAGCTCCAAAGACAAAGGAGAATTTATATACACTAATCCAGGAGGAAAACAAATCTCACTAGTAGGATTTGAGTCTCTGAATCTCCCTAAACACCATCCTCCATTGTTGGGGATTGGCTTGTGCCCCATCTTTATTGGTGTTAAGCGATCACCACAAGAGCTGAGAGCTCTCCAAAACCTACAGAGCTACTTCTGCAGGGCACAGCCCTGTGGTTAGACCCGCCATGTGACTGTACTGCCCTGACCCTTACCTTGGCCAAACCTCTGTGCTGGAAGATGAAGTAGACCACCAACAACAGCAACAGCCACTTCTAGTCAGCTGCTCTTTATATCTCTGACCGTTTACTCTAACTTTAGCTATTTTTGTTCAGTTTTCCTTAGTTCTTAGAGCCTAGCATTGACCTTTGCTCTTGCCCTAAATGTTCACCAAACCATCAGATATTTTTGGAGGTTCTTGGACCCTGTCTTCCCTTTTCCATTGGTCTTGCTTACCTGGTTTTGCTGTCCTCTGTGTTTGAGGTCACAATAGACAGTAACTGCCTCCTAAGAACCCTCACCTTTGTCCTCTTCCTCTTCCCAGCCTCATAGCCGAGGACACACTCATGTGTGCAAAGACCACTTGAACAGAGAGCAGGGAGGGGAAGTGATGCAGCCCTAACAAGGTCCCTGAGACCACTGACAATGATTTCTTTTGGTCGGGCTTGGTTTGGTTTGGTTTGATTTTTAATCCAAAACAGTTAAACAGTGCCAAGTGGGCACTGACTACACCGACTAGATATCTATGTTAACTAGATTCCATGATAAAGCACAACGATTCTAATAAGTTTTAACTAAGATTCCTAACTATCAAGGTCAAGACATCCAGTGCCAAGTTTCTATACCCCTGTACCAACTCCAAACTAGAAGGTCTTGTGGATCAGCAAAGAAAGGGGTAAAAATCCCTCTCTGCTTTCCTTATCCTGTCACCACTTTATAAATTTAAAAGAGTTAAAGTAGAAGGATAAGGAAGTCAGATTCTGATTGGTAGTGACTAAATGGCTGTTTATCTGACTCAACTCAGCCTGAGTCAGATAAAGGAACCCTTAGGACTCCAGGGCTATGAGAGAGCTAAAAGAACTCCACCTATGTTCTCTGGACTTTTGAAGGCTGGGACAGTGATGCCTAATTCCTTTCTGAGGAGCAGAAAGACAGAAGGCTTTGCCTTGGCCTGCCTGCCACTGCATTCAGCGAAAGAGGTTTTGGGAGAAAACTTCTCACTAAAGACAGTAGGCATAGGCCCATTGGTTCCCCATACAGAAAGCCACCATAAGAACTACCTACTGGAATCCTGGATGCAGTAGGCCACCAGATGCCCAGAATCAAGAAAGAAACAGACAATGTGCCCTCATGGGAGAAGAGTTAACAATCTGCTTGATTGACTCTGAGGAGCATCAGTATGGGACTCATCTGGCCTAACTTAGCAATAACACCTTTCCTCTTCTAGTCTCTCCCACTGCAATCCCTGAGGAATCCACAGTGGTCACTGAAGAATGTAGTGGGGTAACAGGAAAGCTGAAGACTAAGACTATAAATTAGAAAAACTACCAGTCTTGGATCAAATATGAAGCTTTTCATAATTACAGTGGACTGTCTATTTCAATTATGAAAATGACATTGTTCTTAGGACCAAACATGGCCAGAATATTTTTAAGTAGCTGTGTGATCTAAGGAACCACAGCATTTGGGGTTTCATTTATAGAGTGTAAATGAAGCTATTCACAGGAAGAATTTGAAGGCAAGATGTAGAAAAAAATGAAGCTGCTTACTGCTGGTTGTAACTGAATTCACCTGACATCAGTGTAGCGGATGAATAAGTAGTGAATTGTTGAGTGAATGAATCAGTGTAAGCAAGGAAATAATTGCAGATTCAATGTTATAACTCACTTTGACTCAGGACACAGTTACCATAAATTAGGTTTTAAAAATTATCTTCACTTGCCTTTTCTAGTTTTAAACCAAATCAAAATTCTGGCTACTATATATTTACCATTTAAGATAAGTATTCTTTTCCACACAGTGACTAGTTGTGTCTTACGCTTTCCTTACTTCGTGTGCATTTCATTCATGTGCTCACAGATCAGGACAATTTGTTTCATGTGTTGGTCCTCAGTCTGGTGGTGTTGAGGTGATGAGAGCTTTAAAAGAAGAGATCTAATAGAATATAAGATCACTAGAAAGGCTGCCTTTCAAAGGGGACCCTAGTTAGTTTCTGTAAGGCTGGATTATATCAAAGAGCAAAGCAGGTCCCCTATGTGGCTTCTCTCCTCATCCTGTGATCTCTGTCTCTCTCACACATGTTCTCCCACAATTTTGTCATCCATTATGATATGAAGTAACCAATGGTATCCTCACCAATGCCAAGTAAATGTTAGTGCCATGCTCTTGGACTTCCAAATCTGTAAGCCAAATAATCCTTTCTCTACATATTACTTGGCTTCAGGTATTTTGTGTAACAACAGAAAAAAGACTAATCCATGTAACAAATAGATATAATAACTTTTTTCTTCTCTATGACTTTCCTACTTTGCTACTTTATTGATGTGTACAAGATTTATTACCCTTTCCTGCTTTTATATCCCCTTTCTTTGTTTCAATGTCAAAACTCAGTGTTTTTAAGGCATATAGGACATTTGGTCCTGGATCTATTATCAAGCTAGACATGATATGGGTAGAAGGTTGTGTTTTTGTTTTGTTGTTTTTGTTTTTTATTCCGACCATGTCATTATGAGGCAATGTATGGGTCCCAAATCCACTGCCAAAATTTACCATCCTCAGCCATTCCATGGAGCAGAGGGTACGTTTACCCAGTTCCCTTCCACATGGTCTCCTAGGAAGGTAGAAGTGGGTGGGAATGGATTAAAGAGGTGAGTAGAATGCAAATGTCACAGGATGTGCAAGGCTTAAGGTATTTGAGAGCTATATCCCTGCACATAAGCAGTATGATTAGCTGTATTTTTTACTGTGCATCTTCCTTTTACAATTCAAATTAGGCTACTCTAGCATTCATTTTATGCTAAATCACTATTGTACTCATAAGTTTATTTTCTCTCATAGTACAGTACTTACTGGCAGATTTCTTTAAAGTTCTTTTCAAATTATTAATATTAAATGATTTGATTCAAAAGCATCTGCTGTCTTGCCCAGTGGACTCAGCATACTCTTCAGAAGCATTAAAATGTTGATCAATCAGTGTTTAACAAGCCATGCTGAGGGTTTTCCTGTGATTCGATTTAATATTTGGCTTCTCTGATTCTTAGCTCGGCCTGTAGCACTATGTAGCTTTGATCACTGGTTTAGAAAATCAGAAAGTGGTAAACAACAAGCACTGAAACTTAAGGAAGGCCACATAGTTTCTATTACTGTTTGTAAGATTAAAAAATATTATTCTGTGAAGGAAATCTTAACATTCCTGTCATTTGGGAATAACCAGTGATCAGAATCATTGTCATAACACCATGCTGATGACTTTGGTCATCTTTGCTTTAGAGCTGGACCAGCCAACTGAGTTGCCCTCCTAAGGCTAATGTCTCCTTGAGTCGAGCCATACAGTTTGAATTATAGTCCCAAGACCAAACTGGGCATCAACTGCTTGATGCCCTTCAATGTGCTGCCTGCCATATATGGTTAGCTGGCCAGATCTCTCCCCTGCTCACCCTCTCTCCAACCCAGCTCATGGAAAAAATCTCTAGGAGGAAAAGAGAGTCACAAAGTAAAACAGTATCACATCAGTAGGACAGAGGGATGACTAGGAGAGGCTGTAGATTTGTTTTTCAGATCAAACACTCACCACATGCCATTTCCACTAATGCTGCAAAGCTACTGCCAAATTCCTCTCCATGAAGGCACTGCATGGCGAACTCAGCTTCAAATGAAGAATTTACTACCTGTGT